TGAATGCTGAATGTTTCCTTATAAAGAAACATTTAATCTTAACATTATTATTAGAGATTAGCAGAAGAGATTCTACATTTTTAGTTGAAACCTTGTGTGAGGATCAGTTATAAAAAAAATGAAACATAGAATAAGCTCTATTAGGGGCCGTTTTGCCCAACACCACAAATTGTTACAAAACTAAAACTGCAACCTGAAACCTTGAGTCATGTTCTTAAATAGTCTCATAAGGACAATGACTTTCATATAAATGCCACGCACGACACCAAACACATTCAAAAATATCTAAACTGACAGCTCTATATAACTGCTTTCTCAGATCCATGCTTAAAAAAGGTTTTGAGCGAGTAAAGCCTACATATCTTGATGACCATCCCTCTTCGAACCTTGTGGACTTGTTGCTACAGAATCACAACCAAAGAACTGTAACAAATAACAGAAAGCGCATTACTTGAAGACTTTCAACAGCTAACATAAAAAGAAAACTAACATAATTAAGACGTTGACAGTCCACATTGTTAATCTGAGTTAAGACTGTTCAGTTTTATCCTCTTGTCTATAGATAAAAGGAAGTCTGTTAAGAGTGATCTCCTCTTTGTTGTTGTTGTAGTTTCCTTTGACAAGATGGCGGTTTAGCTGAGACTGGGTGTCTGTGGAAGGAGTAAATCTTCACACATTTCTTCAAATAAAAGTTGAGGAAGGAAACCGCTATCAGTACTGGAAAGAGTGATAACAGCTACTGGACTTAAGAAACCCTTTTTCCTGAAAAATTACTTTAAGAGAAAGACAATAACATTATATGTCGACAGTTCCCTGCATAAAAACAGCTAATCTTACCGTTATCATTACAGTAGTGAGCATGTAAAATATTTATAAAAATATATAAAACTTGACAAACAGGACTCCATAAGAAAATGGTTAACACGCTAGACTTGCAAATTACTTCACTGCATTGATTTAGACATTCACTAAGTTCCTTATAATGTGTCCTTGAGCTGGATTAAGCTAACTTAATAAAATGTAATGTAGCAAGAAGAATCAGCAATATTATTGGTCCTGATCTGGCGGATCAGCTTCAGTCACTTTCGCGCCGCCGTAAGGTTATCTCTCTCTGTCATGTTTATAAATACTTTCATAGTAATTGGTGTGGTAAACTTTCCGCTATGGTACCTAGAATTTATGAATTTGAGCGCAGTACTATACTGACAGCAAGGTCTCATCATTTTCGAATCGAAATGGCTAGATGTAAACCGTAAGTTCTATGCTAACAGTTTCTTCTATCACACTTCTCAATTGTGGAACTCAGCTTCTTACTTCCCAGTTAACTTTGATCTTCAAAAAGTTAAATATAATGTCAATTGTTATCTTCTGTCTTATTTTTTATTGTCCTCTCTCCTTTTTTCTCATATTCTCTAAACATTCAGTAACCTCTTGTGTCCTAGTGGCTTTATTGCCTTGCTTGCGTGAAATGATTTAAAAAAATGCATATACCTCAAGGAGTTTGTCTGTTACAACAGCTGAAACATTATAAGACACTAAATCAGTGTGTAATACTTCCCTAGAGATAATAGGTTATTACCTTAAAGGCTTCCATACTTTCAATTCAGCCACAATTAAAAGTAGAATTACTTTTCTTGAAAGTGCAACAAGAAGTTGTTTCTTCTTTCTTCTTGCTTGTGGAACTTTCTTCTTGCTTTTTGCTTCCCAGTCAAGTTTATTCTTTAAAGATTTAAATTCACTGTTTCCCGTTGTCTTTTGTCTTCTTAATTCTTGTTTTTTTATTGTCCCCTCTCCTTAATAGTAGTTTTTTTTTGTCATATTCTCTAACGCTCATTAACCCTCTTGCGTCCTAGTGGCTTTATTGCCTTGTTTGGGGTGAAATGATTAGAACAAATAACCAATTCCTATTTTTGAAGGTAAATTTATGTCTGCCGGCCTACAAATCAAAAGCCTTCATAAAGAAATTGTGTCTTCCTACAGGAATCGAACATGTATTCTCTTTATTATTACTGGGAAATCATTTTCAAGTCAAGCTACGAGAAGGCTTTAAGTGTTCGACAACTATTGCCTTCGCTGCATTGTAAGATGCCGCCGAATCGATCGTATGCCCACAGCCACTCTACGTCGTCGCCCGAGTCTCCGTCCTCTTCCACCCATCCTGCTCCGGCGTCGTCTCCGATGGTTCGACATGCAGCTCGAGGTCCGGAGGGAGAGCTCATCCGCGATGTACTTCTCCCTCCTTCTCTTCCTGGCTGGCGAAAACGTGTCGGTGGGCAGCTGAGGACGTGGGCTAGCACAATCAAGGATGACCTAGCAGTACTATCGGGTCCACAAGTAGTTGGTCTTCGACGATGGAATCGCGATTGGTTCGCCATTTCGTGTGACTTGGCTCAGGATCGGCGAACGTGGGCAGCGATGGCCCGTGATGCTGTACTTGCTCGGGAGGAAGCCGGTTCAACCCGACCAGGGTGAAAACCGATACACGTCAAGTCAAGTGAAGGCTTTACGGAAATGCAAGGATTAATTATTCTACTTTAGAAATGCACCTCTCTTATTTGGACGTTGATGGTAAAGTGGTTCCTCAGGGGAAATAGGAATAAAGGCATAATTCCTATCGTGTGGGGGGGCACATTTTATTTATGAACAACATTAGATCTCTTGTCCTTTTTCAAAAAAGACAACTGTGATATCCACTAAATATAACATCTATAGTAATAAGAAACAAGGTTGACTTAAAACATCCACTAGAATCCTCGACTGACGCCAATTCAGTCGGGTTTCGATCCTAGCTAGAGACAACCGGACGTCTAGCCACACTGATGAGCTGTGATACAGCGAAAAAGGCTGTCTGTGGATGACTATATATATATATATATATATATGTGTGTGTGTGTGTGTGTGTGTAGCTTATATTTTATATCATAAAGAAACAATTTATACAAAGAATTATATAGCAATGTTAATGTGATTAATGGCGAAATTCGCTAACAGGAATTAATGAGACATTAAATTACTATTAATTCCTTGAATAATAAGATCCTTATACTTGAGTTGTTGTCACTTTTGACAGTTTCAAATTGTCATCTTCAATTCGTCTTAGTATTTGCTTATATATAAGAAAATTGTGCCCTGAAGTCCTTGAGGTCCACTCAAGTTAGAAGGTTACTATGTGGAGTTGTATTTACATAAGAAAAGGGCAAAATAACGGGAAAGATAGTTAATTGTAGGCTTGAAGAAATCAAGATTTAGGGAGTAAATTTTCAGAGTTCAGGTGGAGATGTTGGAACTATAGAGTTAAAGTAAACCATAGACGGGACCAGAAACCTAATAATAAACAGAAAACAATGGATAAATCTCTAACCCTGTTCAAAATACCGGGGAGGTATATGAACCGGACGAAAAGCGAATCTATTTACTACGTTAGAGGTAAAGAGTTGAATTAGATTTTAGAAGGAACTTGAAATCTAATCAAAAACAGGGATAAACCTCTAATCCTGTTCAAAAAACGGGGAGTAGTGTGAACCGGATGTTAAGCAAACCTATCTATTACATTGGAAGCATAGAGATGAAGAAGACTTTAGAAGGAACCTGAAACACAATTGTAAACAGAAAACAAGGGAAAACCTTTACTCCTGTTCAAAAATCCTGAAAGGTGTGTGAACAGGATGACAGGCCAACCTACCTACTACCTTAAAAGCATAGAGGTGAAGTAAACTTTAGTAGGAACTGGAAACCCGATCGTAAACAGAAAACAACAGATAAACATCTACTCCTGTTCTGAAATCCGGGGAGGAGTGTGAACAGGATTATAGGCGAATTGATCTATTACATTAGAAGCATAGAGATAAAGTGGACTTTAGAAGGAACCGGAAACCCGATCGTAAACAGGAAACAAGGGATAAACATTTAATCCTGTTCAAAAAGGAATGTGTATCGGACGATATCCTATGACGTACGATATGCATACACACAGTAACACAAAAAAACAATTGTTTGACCTTGATCTCTGGCAAATTGACAGTAAAGTATACAAAAATATATTATAAATTCAAACGAACGTAACTTTAATTTGTTTCCCAAACGCTACAAAAGGACTGATTATGGTATGTTAATCTAGACAAAATAAGCTTTCCAATGATACCCAACATGATAACATCAGAATCTATTCCCAGTTCAAATATTCAGCACCTCAAATGAAAAACAATAAGATAAGTTTTCGTGCTTTTTTTTTACTATTAGCGATCCAATAAAAGGCCCAAGTATCACTCAAGGTAGAGGGCAACTAAATGAGGTTGTTGTAAATGAGAGGGCGAAAGGTGTATATTATGAAAATATCTACGATAAACCCTCGCCTTAATGACTCATTAACCCCCTTAGTGATAGAATCCCGACTGACGCCAATTCAGTCAGGTTTCGATCCTAGCTAGATGCAACCGGACGTCTAGCCACACGTTAGATAGATGATTGTAGTGATCCAGGAAGCATCCTCTCAGGAGTCCATTCCAAAATGCAACAGATCTGGCTAAACAAGCTGTCTGAGTTGAACATCTTTCTCACTAATATAATATGAAGGAGATGAGGATGTGAAAACTCGGTATAGTCGGCCTGACAGAGCCTGGCTGTCAAGATATCTAATGGTGGAACCAATGAATATATTTCACCAGAACTTCTGCCAGAACAATAGCGAAAGGGTAGCGAGAAGCTAGCAACGTTTCGCCCAACCACAAAATGTTTCCTTTCATTTGAAAAAAAAAAAGATTTAAAGAGAACACAGTTTTGTTAAGCTCCAAATTAAACCCTGAACCATACAGAGAATGGTTTCAGTGCCAATGCTCTAACAACAAAGCTATTATCTGTGATACAGACAGCTAACATAGGAACCTCATCTGATGAAGCACAAGATGTCATTAAATGGCGCGTAGTTTAATAAATTGCGAAGATTCGACAAAATAAATTATTTTCTATAAGAAGCAATTAATTTCGTTGTCATGAAAATTCAATCATAATGAGATTAGTTGAGATAATTCAAAGCATTTGGACAGAAACATGTTATCACGCGGTAGGATTATGAGGGAAGGGGAGAATAAGAAGTGACAAATTGGGGTCCCCCGGCAAAGAAGACACGGTTTTGATACAGAAATATATGGGCTGATAAGGCCTTTCATACGAGTGCATTTAGTAACAATGAGAGAGAAAATATAAATGTCTAAGATAGATAGGTAGGTAGGTAGATAGAGCGCAGACAGACATAAATAGGCGTAGACAGACATGAAAAGATAGATAGATAGATAGATAGATAGATAGATAGATAGATAGATAGATACAAATAAGCTAAGATAGATAGATAGATAGATAGATAGATAGATAGATAGATAGATAGATAGATAGATAGAATCTAGATACAAATAAGCTAAGATAGATAGATAGATAGATAGATAGATAGATAGATAGATAGATAGATAGAATCTAGATACAAATAAGCTAAGATAGATAGATAGATAGATAGATAGATAGATAGATAGAATCTAGATACAAATAAGCTAAGATAGATAGATATATAGATAGATAGATAGAATCTAGATACAAATAAGCTAAGATAGATAGATAGATAGATAGATAGATAGATAGAAATAGGCTAATACAGACGTGAATAGATAGATAGATAGCATCTAGATACAAATAAGCTAAGATAGATAGATAGATAGATAGATAGATAGATATGAACACGAATAAAAAGAAAGAATGTATGTGCAACTGAGCGGCAACAGTACCTTTGCGCTTGAATACGATCTTCAGCCAATACATATGTCCGTTCTATGGCGTTAAAGAATGAAACAGACTGTTGCCACTTATTATTGACCTCGATGTCCCCTTTTTTATTATGTGTTTAATAGTTCAGATTCTTATTTCTTGGCATTTGTCTTTCGTCTTTTTATCTTGTTTTCATGCATCAGGCCCTTCCCAACTTTCGACGAACACCAACAAGATCAAGACTTGGAATTCAACGTGGAGGTAATCATTCTCTGGCCGGTGGAAAGCTTGGACGAGGGTCGCGTTGCATGTATAGAGTGGTATTCTAACCCATTTTTCATCATTCTAACCATTTGGTCAGACACCCAGTTTTATTATTTCATTTATATTCTATTGTTAAACTTATATGTTTACTCGCAATATAACCCCCTTCGACCGGGTCTTTCATCGCTGGGAATTTTTGCCGTTCAATTAAAGCAGTTTCAGTATAAAGTCAGCCCACCCGAAAATCAATATTAGTTACAACTACTGGGTGCAACTGAGACACATCCCCAATTTGAATTTGAATTCCCATCTCCAAGATCTCCACCACATTTATTGGCGTCGGTTACATCCAGTGACAGTACCCAAAGAGTGTGAGTTCAATACCCGGTTAAGGCAGTGGAGAACTTTCACAGGGGAATTAACAGAAGATAACTGACATCCATAAGACATGTCACGTGGAACTAGAACAGTCTACCCCAGTGAGCGAAAAAAAGGGTTTAGTTCGACATTCCAACCACCTGAAGGCCGGAGCGTACAACGGCCGAAACGTTGTGATAAACATGGCGACAAAGATGAGGACAAAAGTCCGAATCATGTAAATAGCGTTTTATGTGCAATTATTACATAGGGATGAATTAGATAATAATTTCTTTTCATGTTATTGCGTAGTGATAAATCAGATATATTTATGCTCATTTTATTTCATGGAGATAATTCATAAAAAAGATTTAGGTCCATTTTATTACATAAGGGTATTTGAGGTAATGACTTATATTCATTTTATGACAAGGGGATAAATCAGATAATGTTTTATGTTCATTTTATATTACAAGGGTATAAATCAGAAAATTTATCATATTCATTTTATGACAAGGGGGTAAATTAGATAATGTTTTATGTTCATTTTATTACAAGGGGGTAAATCAGATAATGTTTTATGTTCATTTTATATTACAAGGGTATAAATCAGATAATGTTTTATATTCATTTTATGACAAAGGTGTAAATTAGATAATGTTTTATGTTGATTTTATTATAAGGGGGCAAATCAGATAATGTTTCATATTCATTTTATGATAAGGGGTAAATCACATAATGTTTTATGTTCATTTTATGACAAGGGGGTAAATCAGATAATGTTTTATGTTCAGTTTATTACATAGTGATAAACTACATATTTTTATTTGCTATATTTTTATTTAGGTGGAGTTGCTTGTCTGCGGACAAGCGGTTCTAAATTAAACACCGTACTTATCTCAGACTGACCGCCAAATAAAAATAGATGCCCCAATCTTCCATGCTCATAACCCATAGATAGGAAGAGAATCATTGGATTCATATCATTCTAAAATTATTTGTGCGAAAATGAATGACAAAATTTTAGCGGTAATTTGATGTCGTCACCCCAATCCTCTTTCCTATGCTTATATGGGGCGCGAAAGTCATTACCTATATAATGACTACCAATTAACCCATTATAGCTGAAAGCTTGGGGCGCCAGAATGTGCCCGCAATCAGGTACTATTTGTATTTCAATGCACAACATTAACCAGAGTAGCCAGAAATCTGCAGCTTTTGACAATGTTACATATTTCTATTTCTATTCCAGTGTTTCTCAACCATTTTAACTTCAGTGCCCACTTGAAGGTAATCAAAATCTATGGGGTGCATTTAAAATTTTAATAAGGAAAAATTCGACATGAAATTGGAAAATAAGAATATTTGAAGGCGAATCTATTAGATAAATAGTAGAGGATTAGAGTCTATTCACTGTTATTAAAGCGTTTCCCAACCTGTGCACCCCGGCGCACTATTACACCCCGAAAAGTAGCCAAGTGCGGCCCAAGTTAACGGAAAAGTAACTTATTTTTACAAAACTAAAGACACCAAACATATGTCTTCCATGTCTAAGTTCAGTGTTTCTCATTTGATATTTTAAACTAGATGCTACGTACCTTAATCTTTAAAGAGTGAAAAATCCTCTAACATTTGCCTTCCTCGGAGGTTTAAATCAGTCATTATTGACCTCTCTTAAACAAAATAAATTCTTCATAAATCCATTTCAATGAAATCAATACCGATAATCTTTAACAACGCTAAATGTATCTGTCTATATTTCGGAGATGATTGATTGCATTCGTCTAAAAGTCCTTATCAGCCCATATATTTCTGTATCAAACCGTGTCTTCTTTGCCGGGGACTCAAACGCCAGGGTGCACTTGAAGAATGACTAAAGATCTGCACGCATTTTAAATTTTAATATGAAAATATTAGTCATGAAATTTGAAAATATAAATTTTTCGACACTATTGCTCTCATCTTTGTTGCAATATTTATCACAACGTTTCGGCCGTTGTACGTTCCGGCCTTCTTCAGGTGGTAGAAATGACGAACTGAACCCTTTATTTCCTCAAGGACACATAGTGGATAAAGGCGTTAGTTAGATCTAGTGACAGGACCCAGAGTGTGAGTTCAATACCTAGTTAAGGTGGTGGAGAACTTGGAGAGGGGAATTAACAGGAGATAACTGATAGCTAACATCCATTAAACATGGCACGTGGAATTAGAACAGTCTACCCCAGTGAACGAAATAAAGGGTTCAGTTCGAAATTCCAACCACCTGAAGAAGGCCGGAGCGTACAACAGCCAAAATGTTGTAATAAATATGGCGACAAAGAAGAGGACAATAGTCCGAATAATATCAATCGTGTCGAAAAATCTAGATTTAGATTTTCAAATTTCATGACTAATTTTTCTATATTAAAATTTAAAATGCGCTCCAGATTTTTAGTTATTCTTCAAGTGCACCGTGAATTTAGAATGGTTGAGAGACAATGTTTTGAACCATAATTATTTAGCAGTATACACTATTTCTCTAGCAGTTTCGTCTTCAAGGTCACCATTAGTTTAGCCTCCAAGTTGCATCAACTGCTATCTATATGCTGGAGATGTGTATATGAATACAACACCGGTAATGGTAGAGAACATTCGCCGACTTCTGATGTATATAAAGAAATGAAAATACAAATGAAGCAGAATTTAAATTAAGATTTTTTTATACCCCCTTGTTTTTGTTTTTAATACAACTTTTCAATTACATGACAGAGAGTTCAGTTATCCAGAAGGCGTAGCGATCCATTTTTGTTTTGTTTAGGGGAATTACATTAGCATTTAGTTCCTATCTTTCTTTTTGTTACTGCTTACAAATGAGAGCATGTACGTGTTATTTTTATTATTTAACTAGCAGCATGGCCCGGCGTTGCCCGTGCTTGATTCAAAAATCGTACGACTCATACAGCATTCTCTATCACTTGACTTAAAATATTTTTGCCCTTCCTTGCCTTTAAAGGAGTACCGTTTGCCGTGCTGATGTTGTTACATGCCTTACTTCTTGCCTATCTCACACTGCGAATATTTTCTAAGCTCTATACTAAACATTAAATCTGTTACGAAAAAAGAACTAAACAAAATGAACACAAAACGATCAGCTTTAAAAAAGGACTCGTAACTGGAATAACCGAATGAAAAAAGAATGTTAACAACAAATACTTTTTTTTACATCCAACCCAGTTCTGCGGAATCAGAATCAACGTTGAGTTTAAGCAAGCGAATGAGCCAATTGGAGTAAAGTGCCATACAGATTTAAATTTTTGCCACTTGTGACGAATGCAGCTATCGAGTTTTTTTGCATGCTAGCATGCTAGTCAACATTCGTGTCAGTCAGCTGTTGGCTCTCACGCTGGCCAATAGAATCTTCCTGCCTATTCGTGGCAGCCAGCTATAGGTTCTGGCCAGTACAAAATGGCCGCAAATTACATGAAAATTGCTGTAGAAGCATGAAAAATCGATTATTTCCACTATCGATGGGAGTTGGGAAATGCAAATAGTTGGAGCATGTGCATGTAAATTTTGGTGCAAATCCGTCGAAAATTGCGGTCGTGCATTCGTTACACACACACACACACACACACACACACACACACATCCTGCCTTTTATAGATAGAGATACTGAATTATTATTTCCGACTTGTCAACCTCATTTTCTGCCACATTGAGATTACAGTGGTCGTAGTTGGTGGGGGGACCCTGCCTCGATAGTAAGGCTGATCAGTCCGACTAGGTTAAAGTGGCAGACGATATCCAAAACGGCCTCAAGTCTGTCGTTAACTGGGGCAAAAGATGACTTTTAATGTTACCACCTCCAAAACTAAACTTCTCTCCATTAATCATCTGCGTTCAATCAGCATGGCTGATGCTAACCTCCAGGAAAGTGACTCTTTGCGCCAAACGTTCTCAGCTGACATGAAGTGGAAAAGACTATATTGAGTCAATTACTAGGTGAACAGCTAAGAAACTTGGTTTTCTGTGACGTGCGAGACATTTTTTTCTCTCCAGAATCTATTATACATATCTATACGCTGCCACATATGGTCCGGTGCCCCTGCTATTTACCTTGAACTCCTTGATAAAATCAAAGAAGAATCAGCAATATTAATGGTCCTGATCTGGTGGCTCAGCCTGTCACTTGCCCACCACCGTAATGTTGCCTCTCTGGGTCTTTTCTATAAATACTTTCATGGTAATTGTTCAGATGAGCTCTTAAGGATAGCTGTATTATGGTGGATGTACTAAGAGAGGTAAGTAAGAATGCGTTGTTTTGGTGTTAGTCATATTGTGTTATGTTTGGATCAGTGTTTGTGGCTTGCTAAGTTTAACGTTAAGACAGAACAAGGCGGTTCTTTTCCCCATTCCCCATTTTGGCCTTGTGCCACATTTGATAAATAAATTACAAATAAATATCACTCTTAAAATTTTTTTTTTTACTACTAACATTTTTTTGTTTAGTTTCTTGTAAATACTTTTTTTTTGCTTTCATTTACCTCGGAGTTCTTGACAAGATCCTGAGACAGATATGTAATATAATTGGCCCTGATCTGGCATCTCGCCTACAGTCGCTCTCTCACAGACGCACCGTCGCCTCTCTCTGTCTTTTCTACAAATACTTTCATGGTAATTGCTCCGATGAGCTGCTTTCACTGGTTCCCAGACTCCATGAATTCAAGCGCCCTACGAGGCTGGCATCCCGCTTCCACCCTTACACTGTAGAAACTTTTAAATGTAGCCGTCTCTTCTACTCCAATAGCTTCATACCTCGCACCTCTCGCCTGTGGAACACCCTTCCCAATTACTGTTTCCCTGAGAGCTCTAATCTCCAACTATGCAAATGTAATGTAAATCGTCATCTCCAGTTACCTTGATCTATCCACTTTCTCCTCATCCTTTCTTCTATCACTCCTATCTGCTCTCGCTCCAAATCTTCTGCAACCCCCTGCATCCTAGTGGCTTCACGCCTTGCTCGGGGCGTAATGCTTAAAAAAATATACACATTGGGGATAAAGTTTAAATTGTTATTTTATTCCCCCTCCCCCCAGACAATGAATTGTAAATATGGGGACTAGTTAGGACTTCATGTAGATTCTGAGGTATTATGATGGATGAAGTAAGAATAGTAAGAATGCGTTGTTGTGGTGTAAGGAATATCGTTACACGTTTGGATCAGTGTTTGTGGTTACCTAAGTTTAATGTTAAGACAGAACAAGACCGTCCTTTTTTCCCCATTACTCTTTTGGGCCTTGTGCCACATTTCTGTGCATAGCAGAATAAATATCACTCTTGTCTATGTTACCTAGACATTTTGAATTTAAGCGCGTACTAGACTGACGTTTACAGTTGAAACAGCGATATGTAACCGCAAGTTCTATGCTAACAGTTTCTTTTCTTGCACTTCTTACTTGTGGAACTTCCAGATTTCCAGTCAATTTTAATCTGCAAATATTAAAATGCAACGTTAATCATTATCTACTGTCCTCCTGATTACTCTTTCCGCTCCCCATCCATTATTAATGTTTCTGTTCCTAATTCTTCCACACCCTGTAACCCCTTGTGCCTTAGTGACTTTACTACCTTGCGTGGAATGATACTGATTGTTCCTATTAATAACTGTTTCCCTTTGTTTTATATACAGTAAAATCTCGGTTATCGAGTACCTCCTTCATCACACGATTCGGTTATCGTTCACTTTCCCCCGTGAAAATATGTGTCGCAAATTGTACACCTCACTTATCGAGCAAGGAAAGCCGTCCGTTAAGAAGCTGTGCATGTTTGTTTGCTGCTGCGTGACTTCCCAAGCCAAACTCCCACAGAAAACCTCACGAGTGTTCGTGACTCTGAGTCTGAATTTACAGCGGGGCGGATCTTGGGTGTAAAGTTCTGAGCTGGTGGCAACCAAAGAATGTAGTTCGTCTGAATATTTGCTTTGGAAATAGCAACAGAGTAGCGATGGATTTGCGACGTTTCATGTGTATGAAGAAAATAGCTTGCAATGTTGCGTCTGTATGAGGAACATAGTGAGGATTGAACTCACTACTTACAGTAGTAATGAACAGTCTTAGCAGACATTAATCCAGGCGCCTTTGGTGGGAGGAAAATGTACACAACCGAGCGGTCAGCGATTATGATATTCAAATTTTTCCATTTTTCAGATTTCGTTCCACGTTTTTGTTTGGAAATAAAGAAATAAACAATTAAACACTTAATTGAAACACTTAACTGAAACACTTAATTGAAACACTTAACTGAAACAATTGAACGCTTAATTGAAACACTTATACACTTAAATGAAACTCTTAAACTGAAACAATTAAACACTTAATTGAAACACTTAAACATTTAATTGAGACACTTAAACACTTAATTGAAACACTTAAACACTTAAGGGAACCACTTAAACACTTAATTGAAACTCTTAAGCAATTAATTGAAACACTTAACTGAAACACTTAATTGAAACACTTAACTGAAACAATTGAACACTTAATTGAAACACTTATACACTTAATTGAAACACTTAAACATTTAACTGAAACGCTTAAACAATTAATTGAAACACTTAACTGAAACACGTAAACACTTAATTGAAACACTTAAAATCTTAACTGAAACACTTAAACACTTAAATGAAACACTTAAACACTTAATTGAAACACTTAACTGAAACACTTAAACACCTAATTGAAACACTTAAACACTTACCTGAAACAATTAAACACTTAATTAAAACGCTTACCTGAAACAATTAAACACTTAATTGAAACACTTAAACACTTAAATGAAAGACTTAAACACGTAGTTGAAGGACGTCATTATTATAGTTACTTTATCACGTTGAATAATTTCAACTCGGTGTGTCTGTGAAAACTTCACCGTTTTCTATTTCAGTTTTTTTTAATTAATTGATTTGACAGATGGAGATTATTCAGTTACTGAAATACATTTAAAATACTCTATTAATAATATTATCTTGAAATAATTCATTAAAATATATTTAAAACGATCCATTAAAATACATTCAAAATACTTCATTAAAAATATTTTTCAAAATACTCCATTAAAATATATTTAAAATACGGCATTAAAATAGATTTAAAATACTCCATTTTAAAATACTCAATTAAAAATACTATTTTAAAATACACCATAAAATACATTGAACATATTCTATTAAAGGTACATTTAAAATACTCCATTAGAAAACCCATTAAAATATATTTAAAATAATACATTAAAATACTCAAGTAAAAATACTACTTTAAGATAATCCATTGAAATACGTTTAAAATACACCATTAAAATACTCTTTTAAAATACTCCATTAAAAATCCATATAAAAATACTCCATTAAAAATATTTTAAATTACCCGTAGAAATTTTCTTATTGCATTCATAAATATTTAAGGATAAAAATTTTAAGAAAAAATATATCATAAGTATGTGATTGCAAATAAAAAGATTCATAATTAACAAGGTTTTCCAATTTTGCTGATGCAAAGTTTAAACGCATGTTGACGTTATGGCCTCCTCTGTCTTCCCATTCTTCTTTTCTTTCTTTCTTCTCACTAAAACCAAACAACGTTTCTGATATATCTTTTTCTTCCATCGTCCAGTCCACACTCCTTCCCGGTCTCTTGAACAAGAGTAAAGGTTTACCCCTTATTTCCTGTTTGGGATCGGGTTTCCGGTTACTTCTAAAATCTTTTCATTCTCTTTCACTTCCAATAGCTCCACTGTGTCTTAGTGGAATTGTTGTCTTGCTTGAAGCGAATTGATTAAAAAAAAAATCTTTCCTCGCGATCAAAACGTAATAGTCCTTCATTTAATCGAGGCAATGGCAGCGTGCAACGTACTAGATAACTAACTAAGAAAGGAAGGGATAAGCAGAATTGTCACGGGACATTACGACATATATTTTTACTGGTTGCTATTGCTTATAAAAGAATTAAGAGTAACGAGTTCAATTAAATGCTGAGAAACCCCATAGACACCAAAACACGAGCTGTTCTTGAAGACAATTTGCTTCCGAACTGGTAGAAAGGGGAAAAAAGTGCTTATTCCTCTTTAAGGGTTGAAATAGGTGTTTTTTGGAAGCATGAAACAAAATGTCGTCTGTTTAGCAGGAAAAAGTCAGTCCTACGTTGCAGATGAAAAAATCGTTTCGCTATAATTTTGAAGATAAGCGGTGTTGAGTGTCTAATGCTACCGAAACTTTTCACCAGAGATATTGGACTAAACCCAGAAAGAAGCGATAGACAAAATTAATGCATCTTCATCATTTATTCGATGAAAAAAAAAAATATATATATATGTATGGGGGGGGGGTGATTTTCGAGAAAGTAAATCCTGTTTTTAGAACGATTTCAAAATAAAGGCATTGTCTCCCCTCTCAATCTCCTCTCTTCCTTTCTTTCTTTCTTTCTTTCTTTATCTCCTCTCTCAATCTCCTCTCTTTCTTTCAATCTCCTATCACCCTCCTCTCTCAATCTCCTCTCTCTCTCTCTCAATCTCCTCTCTCTCTCTTTCAATCTCCTCTCTCCTTCCTCTCTCAATATCCTCTCTCTCTCTCTCTCTTTCAATCACCTCTCTCTCAAACTCCACTCTCTCTTCCCTCTCAGTCTCCTCTCTCTTTTCTCTCTCTCAATCTTGTCTCTCCCTCCCCTCTCAACCTCCTCTCTCTCCCAATCTCCTCTTTCCTTCCTCTCTCAATCTCCTCTCTCCTTCCTCTCTCAATCTCCTCTCTTTCAAATTCCACTCTCTCTTCCCTCTCAGCCTCCTCTCTCTCTCTTTTCCTTCTCTCTCTTCTCCCCCTCCTCTCTCAATCTCCTCTCTCCTTCCTCTCTCAATCTCCTCTCTCTCAAACTCCACTCTCTCTTCTCTCACAGTTTCCTCTCTCTCTTTTCCTTCTCTCTCTTCTCCCCTCCTCTATCAATCTCCTCTCCTTCCTCTCTCAATCTCCTCTCTCCTTCCTCTCTCAATCTCCTCTCTCCTTCCTCTCTCAATCTCCTCTCTCTCAAGTTCCACTATCTCTTCCCTCTCAGTCTCCTCTCTCTCTCTTTTCTCTCTCCCAATCTCCTCTCTCCTTCCTCTCTCAATCTCCTCTCTCCTTCCTCTCTCAATCTCCTCTCTCTCAAACTCCTCTCACAGTTTCCTCTCTCTCTTTTCCTTCTCTCTCTTCTCCCCCTCCTCTATCAATCTCCTCTCCTTCCTCTCTCAATCTCCTCTCTCCTTCCTCTCTCAATCTCCTCTCTCTCAAATTCCCCTATCTCTTCCCTCTCAGTTTCCTCTCTCTCTCTTTTCTCTCTCCCAATCTCCTCTCTCCTTCCTCTCTCAATCTCCTCTCTTTCTCTTTTCTCTCTCAATCTCCTCTCTCTTTCTTTCTCTTCTCTCCTTCTTTCCACTTTTCGAAACACTCTCACTGATCGCTCTCTTTGCATGTATTCTGTCACTATATATTCAATTCCTTCCCACCTCACTCTTATTACCACTTTTAATGTTTTTTTTCTCTTAATGTATTCATTTTTTATCTCTCTCTCTCTCTCTCTCTCTCTCTCTCTCTCTCTCTCTCTCTCTTTTTTCCCCGACCTTTTTCTTCTCCGGCGCTTTTGCCCTGGTGCTTCCTGCCAATATTGTAAGCACATTTTCGTTCTGCACAGTCTCGCCAGACATGATTAATCGATAAACGTAAGAATGAGATGATATGTGAGAGAGGCAATTTGTCGTCACGAGCGCGCCCCTTACCCATCTCCATTTCTGCCCCCGCTGCACACCTCGAACCAATACCCATCGAACCCCAACCATGCCGATTGCCAAAATGCTTGGCAGTCTAAGATGCACTCAAACAGATATGAAGGGGGGAAGAACGGATGCATTAAAGTGAGGAGACCTGCTCTGTTTTTATTCAATCCTTCGTTTCACTGTTTGTTTATTTATTTAGCAAGAAAATGCCAGTCGATTGGCTAAGTCACTTCTTACATTGATCGGGCTATATATTCCGAGGCATCTATCTCTCTCTCTCTCTCTCTCTCTATATATATATATATATATATATATATATATATATATATATATATATATATATAATTACCTATCCGAATATTGTCATATCTAACTAGCTACCTATATACATATATCTAAAACTTTTTTCTTTATCTATCTATCTCTCTATTTATATTTTCAATTTTATCATATATATATATATATATATATATATATATATATATATATATATATATAAACATAAAATAAAATATAAACATTAAATAGGTCATCTCTTTCTCTCCTTTCCCCTCTGACCACCACTCATATCAAGACTTACACCACTTCCGGTTTTTTGCCATCTTCCTTGTCTTTCTATTCTTCCTCTTCTTTTTTCCCTGTTTTTTCTTCCTTTCTTTTTCTTCTTCTTGTCTGTTTTTTTATTTAAAAAATGTATCATCCATTGACTGTTTGAAAAATCCTGTAAAATTAATTTTACAAGGTGAATATGATCATTTACATAATGGTATCATATTTCCGATTGTATCAAATATATTGCTCTGTTTATTATAAAACATTGAGCTATATGTGTGAATCAGTTTTAATATTTTACATTTTATATTGTGTTAATAGGATTCACTTGGGTTACATATAAACATATATGTATATCTAGGCAGCATATTTTAATTCAAACATGTTTGTTTAAAAATCTTAGATGTATTATGTCTATTTATTTTAGTTTTAATCCATTCAAGTCCACGAATTAATTTCTTGGTGGCTTCAGAAAATTGATTAAGAAAAATTCCAAATTTTCTTTCAAATAATTTTTATTTTCACAAGTATATTCAATCTCATCAGTTACCATTTTCTATGGACGTGTTGCACGTTAAACCGTAAATATAAAATATTTTTAACCGCTATTCTAGGGGGGTAACTTATGTGGGTTTTTTAAAGATTTTTTTTTTAAATTTAGTATATTTTACATAACACTTTACTGCTACAAGCATTTAAGAATTTTGTTGCTATACTTGGAGTTGACCTTTTGTTACAATTCTCTTATATAAATGGCTTCCAGACTATATAAGAGAATTGCGACCAAAAATAAAGTCAACTACAA